CTCTCTCTCTCTCTCTCTCTCTCACTCTCTCTCACTCCCTCTCTCTCTCTGCGTGCGTGTTTATGTGCGCTCTGCCGCTCGCTCCCTTCGGCAAAGCGCAGTGGCGCGCAATGGAGGATGTGTAGAGACCGTTTTCCTGTACACTCCCCCCTAAAGGGAAACCATTTGTCAACGTGCTTTAATTAAGATGTAGCACAGAATAATGCTTCATCACTTCCTCTGTGTTTTTTATTCTCATCATTGGCCTGGATTCAAGAAAATAGGAACAGGCTCTTGCTCCACCTGCTACCCAACTCCTCATCAATGTCAATCAGACCCAAAGAGTCCAAGGATCTCTCCTGGTTGTATCTTTACAGCTCAATTAAACTCGCCTGCAGGCATCGAGCCATTCCTCTGCCCGTTCGCCCTTGAGGTACCTCCGCTCCCACTCCCCATGGCCTGTGGCCTGTGTAAGCACAGCTCCAATAGACAGCTGACTGTTATCAGGAGCCAGCCACCTCCATGAAATTACCTCACTGAGACACAGGAGAGATGCTCTTGCCAGCCAGTAATGAAAAATTCCATCCAAACGTGCAGGAGCTGATGCAAACCTTTTCAAACGTCCTCTGGGAGGCGTGAATGAAGATTTTTGGCCATTAAGTTATCATTTATCAAACATCTGGGACAGGTCACATGACTCCTGCCAGTTTGAGGGTTAAGTCGGGGGTTGACGGCTCACAGCCGAGTGTATGAATCCTGAAGTGAATCCTATACGATTTGTCATGTCACCCTTTATATTTGCTGTCCGAGTAATTGTGTTGGTATTGATTACATCTGCATGAGAAAACACATTGATGCCGGCACACAGACATGCAGGCTCCTTCATTTGAGAACCCTGTTTATCGTGTGGGATGCTATTTAATCAATGCTGTTTATATTTGGCCACAGCTCTCCTCGCAAAGATTGATTCTTATCAAGCCTGCATAAGAAAGATTCACTGTTACAATTCAATGAAACACCACTTCTGTTTTTTTGAATGGGTTGAAGCATTTAATTATTATTTCCAATAATATTCACTGCTTGACCTTCTCAGTTCACACCCACCATGTCATGTAAGTCCTTGATTACACAAACTCTAAAGCCGAGCAGGTGTGCCTTTTTAAATTTTCATCAAAGCTCTTGTTTCTCTGTCTTTCTTTCTCTGCGACCCATTAGTGCGAACATCAGAAATCATTAGGAACAAGCAGCTGCATGGGATCATGTGTTTGCTGAAACTGTGGCGCCTGCACTTACTTGTCTGCAACATGTTTGAGAGCATCTCTCAGGGGGTGAGTGTTTATTTGAACGCAAGACAGATTGAAACCCTCCCGTGGCCGCATTTAGTGTTCATGACTGTACTCGTCTTAATGCACTCTGCAAAGTGACCTTTACAAAATCTGCCTTTAACCAACCACCATCAGCGCCACACAAAGCAGGGACATTGAGAAGAATGGAGGCAGCTTGGCAAACAAAAGCTCAGAAGCCTCCCTCTTTACTGTTCCTTCTAAAGATAGATCATGTGCGTCCTACTAACGTGAAGAGCAGTAATTAAAATTATCAGGCTCGTTTTGGGAGTTTAGCGAGCTCATTTCTCCTTCAACACCAGGGGTTACTAGTGAGCATAACCGTCAAAATGATGCTGAGTAGCAGTGGCACAGGCAGATTATGACTCTATGAACGGCAATATGAGTCTGTTGGTTGTTCAGCTGTTCCATCGCTTTTGTCCAGACTGAAATATCTCAACACCTGTCAAATGGATTCCTATTGAATTTCATACAAATAGTAATGGTCCCCAGAGGATAGATCCTGGTGGTTGTGGTGATCCTCTGACCTTTCCTCTGAGGCTGACCGCCGATGATAGGATTAAACTTAAAGAGGAGGAATCCTACTCACTAAGGTGATCCTCTGACTTTTCCAAATTTTTCACATACACAAAAAAATTCTATATAAATTAATACAAAATTCTGTAGCAATAACAATGATTCCATGGACCTAATGACATTTGAGATCCTGTTAGTCTTGTTTTGAAAGAATCAAGGATGGAAAAACGCCAACGGTTTGTGGTTATGAAGGACAAGTGTACCGCTGGAACATAATAAAGAATATAGTAGCAGTGTCATTTCAGTCCTTTAGATTATTTTAAAGATGAGATCAAACCGTGGCAGAGAAATAGAAGCAAAGGAAATATCTTCAAAAGGTCAGAGTGTAACATGTGGTTATGTAAGTGCAATAATTCTTTCTATTACGGAAAGTCTGAAAGTTTTTTTTTTCACCAAACAACAGTCTCTGGTGAATATGTAAGGGACTGTATAACATGTGGCAGGGACGCAGCAGAGTGGGGGGGTCATGAGACTGACACCTCCCTTCACATATGTTTCATTTAATTCAGACCACCACACATCCTGAGGAGTTGGCAGTAAATTCTGGTCTGGACAGTTACCTTAGCCTGTACAATGTACCTATACACAGCTCTGATCATACCACTCAATCACAGCAAGAATAGCCCAAGAGGGACAGCTCACCCCTCCTGGTGTGAAATGACTAACAAAACACTTCAGGAAGTAAATTGACCAAGTTTAATATCTGTTACAGCTGTATGACACCTGCCTCTGCTGCAGGCACCATGGTGATGTGCAGGGTTACACAAGCTGGCTCTCCATCCCCTCTGATGAAGGGGACTAAAAATTCTGTAATGTATGAGTGCTGGGTAGGTGCTCTGTGTAATGCTCTGTGCAGGCTGAGTGTATATGATGAGCCACGTCTCTCGTTTTTCACAATTTTGAGATGCGGTGGTAATGTGTCATAAAAGAGGGAGAGATGTGCCTGGACGTACGGTAGCCGACACAAACAAAACGCGGCTGTTGTTGTTGTGTTTATGTTTCCTCCACTCCCCTCAGGGAGGATCGCTTATGATTAATCTGTACGGGCTCGGCATGATTACTCGCATCACTCTTCAGCCCAATGGAAACCTTGGGAAGCATTACGCTGCCTCTCTGAACACATCATGTTCGTGGCAGGGAAAACCGAGTATAAACACTTTAAAGTGGGCTTGATGTTGGGATTTTGCATAAAGATGGAGTGATGATGAAGATGCATGTTTAATGATGACACAGGACAAGACGGCTGCTGATGATTGATTCAATGTCAATTAATCATTTTAATAGGCTGCCGTGGCGCCTTCAATCGATTGAATTGTCGTACTTGTTGCACTCGCAGTCGTCT